TCAAGGTGAGATAGCGAGGGGAAAGAGATGTGAGGAGGAAGAGTCAGTGTGGAGGTTGACGTTGAGGGCAAGAAAGGAAAGCGCAAGTTCCACATGCTTGGTGATGCTTTGTGCGTTGGGTGTGATTCAAAGCCACTGGCGCTTTGTAAAACAGTGGGTGCTGTCACATCGATCGCATGTGTTCCTGATCCCTAGTAGCCTAGTAGCTTCTTGTTCCTAGTCGTAAGGCCAGCATCCGATCGCTCCGTTCGTAGCGATGCCCTTTGTTACGTTCGTAGCGAACCTTGTTACCAGTAGTATCGAATCCAGAAGGCCAGAAGGTGAGTAAGTCCTGGAAGAGTTCAAGGATGCCCGGCCCATTTGAGCCGTGTGCCGGGCGGACGACATGAAGTCACGCAAGGAGCGCAGCAGTGGCGCCCGGCAGCTTCAGGCACCGGTGAAAACAAAGCGATGGCCTCCAACCGAAGAGCAATGGCCTCCAATATAGAGAGGCTAAAAAAGAGGCTCAGAGTAAAACAAAAGAAGAGCTGCATGAGAGTATTGAGCCCGTAGAATCGTGCTTGATTTGTCTGCTTTCTGCTTTCTTTTTCAGCGGAATTCTTCAAGGTAACAGTTTGGCTGTTGCCATGAGTGACCCTCAAATCCCTGGCTCGTGCCGCTTGGCAAAGCTTTCTTCACCTCAGCATTGAAGCCACCAGGCCCTCAGTGGGGCCTCTCATTTGGCATATTGGCTGGCGAACTTGATTTACGAAGCTTGGCGAACTTCTCTGCCTTTTGACCAAGTGTAGTAGGTTGGAGGGCCATTTGCTATTAGGTTCGGTGCATACAACTCAGTGCAGTGCGAGCTGTATAAGTCCAGTGCAGTGCTCCCCATGCCCGCCCGGCCAGCCCTGCGTCCTCAGTGAACTGCTCCGAGGACTTGGCGCTCTATGTGCTGCCAGCGATCTCCGTGCCATTGGCATTGCAATCCTTCGGGTGACACACTCGGACAGAGGTCAGAAAGCTTGCGATCGCGATGGTAGGTATCAGAAAGTCCGAGTGATTCTCGGCATCATTTGTGTTATTATCTTGAGAGACCATCTTTGTTTCTCTATGTCTCTTGTTTGGCAATTCAGGGTGCCAACGGCGCCGGCTTCAAGTGCCAGCCCTTTTCATGCGCGAGCCACGCGAGGTATCATACCTTGTTGAAAGGCGATTGTGGGAAAGCTTTGATCTGTGTCCTGGCCGCCTTTGGCTCGGACCCCCAGCAGCGGAACGAGCGTTGTCCGGAAAAAAAGAACCGGACCGGCACTCAAAACTGCAGCCGAGTGCTTTGTCGCTGCGGAACGCGAACTGGATAGGTGATCAGAATGGATGGATCTCCCAGCCAGAACCAGATCCTTCTCCTCCTTGATCCTCCGCCCCCCCCCCAAGCTCTTAGCTCCGTAGCTCTTGGATCGCCCAGGTCCAGCGATCGCGGGCTTCTCCTACATTGCCCTTCGGCCCGGTGGATCGGTTTGGTGCGATAGATCGAAGAAGCGAGGTCCGGCGCTGTTCCCACTTCTCAGAGCTGTTCCCTCTTCCTTGGAAGTGTTGTTTTTTCTTCGGGAATATATCCTATTTCGTGTGGAACAGATCATACAGATTCACAATATAGAGGCTCAAATTTTGCCAATAGCCATGGCCAATCTTCCTTCCGATGCACAAGAGGGCCTTCAGGTAGCGTTCAAGTGTTGAAGATAATCACCACTTGCACCCTGGGCAAAAGACTCAAAGCAAGCATGGGGTGACAGAAAGCGAACGAGCAAGCGAAGCCTAGCTCAATCAGGTGTCCTTCCTCTTCAAGGATCATTCGAGGGTCTGGGCCTTGTCTCATGTGAACAAATGTTTGTTCACTCGTATTGCAGCTTGTCCCTTCATTCTGCTGATGTATCCTCTTGGTCTTAGAAAAGAGAGGATAGAACTCAGGGGTGATTGGAAAGCCAATTTGCATTTGGTACGGAAGCTGAAGGACAAATTCAAAGCATGTCAAATACACGCGAAGGCCTCAAATACCATCCTGAGCTTTTGCCTAGTGGGTGCCATCGTGCTCTCCACCGTCGGGATACCCAGAGATGGTGAGCAGGACAACTTTCGATCGGCTTTCTACGCTTGCTCTTGAACAACGAATTTACACATCCAGTCCAAGATAATGGCAAAGTCACAATTCTTGTCCATTAGATGTCACACCAGTAAAACAAGAGGACACGCCGATTATAAAGCAACTTAACTTATACAACACCAACTGTCTAATTCCTTTTGAACTCTGTCTCCAATCGCAGGCTTTTACTGTGTGAACTTCAGAACCGCCTCTGAGGTTCTCTTCGTCCTGGCCATCATCAACTACGATCCGACAGCCCAATATCCCTCAGCCTGTGACTATCCCACCGAGGCACCATGGGCAAGCCAAGGTGTCGCACAGAGGTGTAGTCAGCATAGTATGGCCGTATGGCCTAGTGGTTGTTTGATGAATAGAGTGGCTACCCTCAGGTGAACAACAATAGGCATACGGTACCAAATCGACCGACCAAGGACATCTTTCGCAAAAAGACAGCCATTTTTTGAGCCAGTCGGACTAGATGGAGGAGGGAGTTCGTCGACTTGAGCTTGGCAAATGACGTGAGCTTTCAAGGAATCTGCGGGCCAACCTGCGAGCTGGAGATCGAAAGGAGTGTATATATATGTTGGGTGGACCACATCCATGCCCTGACAAAGGAGGAGCAACATTCATCAAACGCCTGAGGTTCTCTTTTGACAGTTCTGAAGGTCGGCTTCACGTTCACCTGGTTTTGACAGTTCTGGCTTTTGGAAGGTCACAGCTGTTGCCATAGCGACAAATCCAACAGGAATCCTTCGTTCGTCAGCATGCAAGTCAAAGTCCCCCCCTCCGTCTCAACATGCATGCGATTTGCTGGAAGATTCACACCAAGTTGTTCCGAATGGCAAGACCTGCCGATGCCAACTGTCTCTGCTTCTTTATCTTCTTTGATCCACTTGCTTTGATCCACCGGAGGCGCATCCGGAAGGCAATTGCCGTTCGCCGGGCGCCAGGCAACTGGGTGGAACGACTGTCATGGTCATGACATGTGATGACTCATTTCAGGGCACCCTCCAAAAAATGAAGTTGGAGCGTGATAATGAGGGGTTTTTTAATTATTGTACAATGTTGTGCACATTGTTGGTGCTTCTTGCTTTATCTCGCAGATGAAGTAATTATTTGGTGAATTCCAGTGAGTCCGTCCATAGCTTTCGGGTGATCACGGACTGCGGAGACGGGTTTGCTTCACCAACCCCAGGTAGAGCATTAGACTCATTAGACAAAACTTGCACAAACCTGATGAAGCCCATTGACTGAAACTGCCAATCAACCCTTCCACTATGTTCTACTTGCTCCGGAAGCCCTCGTCGACTGGCCAGAGAAAGTCACGGACACCAGGAAACCGCGCTGGCGTCTGCGCTCGCGCCGCTAGGACGGCAGATCGTATCTTGGGCCCCCTGTTCCGCATGGTGCCGACGGTCTGCGTGTACCAGGCTGGGCACTTGGGCAGTGGAAAACGGTCAAATCGTGTACGTGAAGAAGATGAGGTTGATGACTGGATATTAAAGGTTTGGTACAATCGGTGCGGCGTGGGGTCTTTGTAACCGAGAAGTAATTAAGTGAGCTGTTCAGATAGTGCAATAGAAGGCGGTGCACAGGTGGCAATGAAGCTGTACTGATGGACCAAGAGTTGCAAAAACTGCAAGTGGGCTTAGGTCAAAAGTACCTATCTAGTCCGTTATTGATGCATCGAGATGCATTGAGCATCTTCTTGATAGCAGATCCTGAGGTTCCATACAGGTTCCTCAAGGGTGTTACTGCCACTAATTGCTGCGGACCATTTCAACGCCTTGTTGGGGATGATGCCCCAGGAAGGAGTGCTAGTGCCACTGCAGTTTGGTGCACTGAGGCACAGGTTAAACAACGACCTCTCAAGGTGGTTTGTGAATTCTGAGGTCTTACCGAGCACGCGGTATTAACCAAATGAAAACATTGACAACACACTGCAGAGGTAGGGGCCGACTAGCTCTTCGGGACGAATTCGAGCATGTTTTTTGCAGGTGCCGGCATCTCACTGAGATCGGTAATTCTGCGAATTCCGGAGTCATTGACGTCCCAATCTGTTTTGGTCCCACGAGTGCCCCACACTAAAAGCCATGGCCTCCAACCTACTAGCGATGGCCTCCAACCTAAGAGCGATGGCCTTCGACCTGCTAGCGATGGCCTCCAACCTAGTAGCGTTCGTTGGCCTCCAACCTAGTAGCGAGAGTTGTGACTCGTGAGTATCAAGTTTGACGCACCAGTCACTCCACGAGGCACTCTTCGCCATCGCGATGGTGGCAAATTTGCAAGCGGTCCGGCTGCTGAGATTTTCTCAGAGAGGCCTTCCCCAGTAGCAAGTGGTTGTTATCTCACAGCCCACTGGTGACCAAAACCGTTACCTTTGAATACCTTTGACATCCTATATTGTCCTTAAAATCTGATCTGCAACATGATCTGCAAACCTTCACTTTGCTCGAGCTTCCATGTGAACAAATCTGGACATCTCCGCGGGTTGGAAGGGCGATGGTTGCTGATCGCGCTGGCGCCTGGTTGCTGATCCTAGCCTGGCTCAATTGTGGCCTAGCTGAGGAGAAGGAGTGTGACAGTCACAGTCCTAGTGAGGCTCAGTGCGACAGTCATGGGGTACTCAGTGCGGACTTTCTGCAGTTGCGCACTGAGACACAGCCCTTGAAGAGCAGCCCTTGGCCACATGCTCGAGGTCCAGTGAGTGAGGTACCACACTCCGGATGGACACCTGAAAGCTTCATGAATCATTCTCTCCGTTGGACTTATAAAGATCCACTTGGCCAGTATATGAATATGTTTGCTGCTGGTGCAGTCATTGATGTAGATGAGAATCTCTTCCAGATGACGTACAAAGGGATCTTCGCCTTCAATAAGAATGGCAAGCAGATTTGGCACTACGAGACACCAGGCCACTGCAGAGCATCGTCAAACATGGTCAAACTGTTGGGGCTCCACCATGCTCCACTACCTATCCTGTAGCATGACCACTTTAACATAGACATTAAATTCATCTAGTCTAATCACAGAATTGATTAGAATGATCGAGCCAAGATGGATTGAACATGATTGAACTCAGATGAAGGTCTTCCAAAGCAACAATTTATGATAAAAGCGGAATGTCTGGAATTTCTTTTCTTTCTGAGTCAGGCGTTTCCAACAACGAGCCCCTCCTCGTGGACGACCTGGTACTGGGCTCCACCCAGCAGGGCAACGCCTTCGCCGTGGAGCGCCTCACCGGACATGTCCGGTGGATCGCCGCGCTGGCGGACGATGCGGGGGGGCGATGCGGGATATCCCAATGCGCACGAGGGCATCTTCGTAGTCAGCGCACACAAGCGTCTCAGAAGGAATTGTCTTAGTTGTATGGATTGTTTTTTGTTGGATATCATTGTTTTTTGGATTTATATAATGATGTGGAGATTTGAGTGGAAACTCAGTTCTGCTTTCTTTGTCCCTGGTTCTGCTTCGCAGCTTTTTTTTGGGTTAACCCTTTGTTCTTCTGTTTGGGATGATGCCTTTCCCGAGAAAAACAAACACAGACATGTGCTTCTTTCTCTCAAATGTTGGGTGTTGATTCGTCACGCTTCCCCTCTTGCTCATCTTCCACACCGGTTTGGCTTTCTTTTTTGTTGTGCCAAACGACCGAAACGAAACGTGAGGAGTTGGAAGGCGCCCACGGACGGCGGCAACGAGAGGATCTTCGGTCTTCACGTGTCCAACGGCTCAAGGATCTGGCAGTACACGCCGGAGGTGCCCGTGTGGAACTTCGCACCGCTCTTCCCAGCAGATGGCAGTGTGGTCTTCATGGACTGGACGGGTGGAGTGTATCGCTTGAATTTGACCACGGGCGAGGAGATCTGGAAGGTCTTGGCAGAATCCAACAAATCCTTTGGAGATGGCGGAGTAGCCTTAAGCGAGACCATGGTGTACTCTTGCAGCAATTTCGGCCATTTCACCGGCGACGAAGGAACTCCTGGCGTCGTCCGAGCCTTCTATTTGTCCAATGGCACGGAAGTTTGGTCCAAGTTCTTAGAGATGCCTTGCAACAGCTATCCCGCAGTAGGGCATTTGGCGGGTTTTGACCAATTGGCACTCGTGGTGACGCCCGGGAGCTTTATGGATTTATTTCATCACGTTGGCCGCGCGTTACGCGGTGAAGTCTTGGCCTTGGATGCTTTGACCGGTGCTCAGCTCTGGCGCTATCCGGTGGCACCCTATGACGGTGGCCCCATCGGTATGGCCGTGGGCGACTTCGAAGGGTTTCCCGCGCGGGTGCTGGAAGGCATCCAACTGGTTTGCTACCCTGCGCATTGGAGCGCGCCGCTGATTGATGGCTCTGGGCAAGTCTTGGTTGGTCGAGCCGATGGAAACTTACATTGGATCTTGGGACCAGAGGTCGAGTTCCCGAACCTGAAGAGGACGGCCAACATGACTGTCCGAAACGGACTCTTGAGTGAGGTGAGACACTTGGGCTCTGGCTTCATCCATGGTGCAATCAGTGCTGGGCCGGGACTCTTTGCGATTTCGACTTGCGACACTCTCTTCGTCTTCCAGAAGTGAACGACCCAAAAGAATCCACCACTCTTGTGGCGCTAAGCAGTGACGGGGGGCCAGGGGGTAGGTAGGGGTACAAGCAGGAACCGAGGATGATGTGGGAAGATCAACATCTTCAAGGTTTTAAGACCCCTCCGTTTCCCTAACTATATCAATGAAACACCAATTGCTTAGCAAGTCGGGGTGACTTATACGGGCACATCACATGGTTTGCACGTGGACCAATCGGTCAAAACAAATAGTACGAGGAAAGAGTTTTGATGTAGCAATAGAATAAATAGAGTAATCTGTGAATTGCATTACTCCAGAGGTCTAGCACTGCGTCATAGATCTATGACAGAGGTGCGTTGGTGAAGCCAGGATCAACAAGAGGATGTTACTAGATTCGCACATGCAAACTGAGTAGCTTCTTGGTGGAACATCGCCATTTCTCCTGTCACCCAGCTTCTTTGACCAAGGGACCTTTCTCATTCTTCCATTCTATAGATTACAAGGTATTCGTTCTCTTCGTGACCGTCTTTTATTCGGTTCAGAGGTGGTTTTGGGTGAAGGGACGAGGGTTTTGGTTTTTTTTCATCTCCCAGACATTGTCAATGACCGGGGTGGGGCTGGTGGGTGAGGGGCGCTGAACAGTCAAGCCTTCAGACATGTGAGGTCATTCCAGAAGGTGCAATGGATGCTCTTCAGGCTGCTGGCTCGAATCGAAGCGATGATAGGCTGCATGTCCGTCGGATTTCAGATCTCCAAAGGACCACCGGCATAGATGACCACGACGCTCTACCGAAGCGCTCACCCTCTAGAGAGAGCTCACCCCTCCGCGATTCCGGTCAACAGGCCAGTGAGCACATCTCCAAGAGCCCAGCAGTGAATCGGCACATCATGCAGATGATATAATAGATGGTTTGTTGCATCAACAGACCTTTAAATAGATGCATAAGAATGATACTTAATCCCACTCTTCCGACCTTTAGTTGCTTCAACAGTTGTTTCTGGAGGCAGTGGGTGGTGGTGCTGGTGTGCCACACGTGAGTCTGAAGCCCTTCGCCTACGAATGGTGTGGTCTGGAGCCCAAGGGCAGAACGTGTGGTTCCGACATGGTTCATGTACCTCTTTGGAGGCATAGGTATCAACAAAAAATAAAAAGAGCATCAAAAAAAAAGGGATCAAAAAAAAAGCAAATTAAAAAAACATATTCACACTTGCAGGTAGCTTGCGGATGCAAGTTTTATGTTCACTGAAGTTCACAAAATGTCCCACCGGGACATTTTGGCTCAAGCTGGTGGCAATCATCCACAGGATTGCACCTGAAGGTTGGAAGAAAACTCCCTAGTACATTGGTTCTTGTTGACGACGACGCAATGGCGCACCCAATGGAACCGGAGTATGTCATGATTGAGTCAGTGCGAGATGCCCAACCAGACGTTGAGGATGGGACTACAATCAGTAGCCCGGGCATGGAGAGTTTGGATCAGGCAGCTGATGCTGCGTCTGTAGCCCTCCGGCATGCGGAGGCGGAAGGAGCAAGGGGCCTCGCCATTTTTGGACAGCCCGTTTTGGCTTCTGAGCTGGATGCTCAGGCGCAGATCCGGGAGTTGGAGCGCCACCTGGAAGCACTCAAGGTCCAGATTGCGGAACGTGAAGATGCGGACATGGGTGTGGACCTCCTGGGGTTAGAGGACCCGGCCGATGGCGGCGCTGGCCAACCCCCCTCTGCTCCTGGTGCCTCTGGCCCAGAGGTGGAGGGGGTGGCACCTACGGCAGCGGCGGCCTTGACGACGAGCCCTACTACACCATCGGCGGCGGCCCAGCCCACACTTTTGACGACCCTGGCGGAACCACCTTTGGCCTGGCCTGTTGCGGCGGAGCCACGCCCGGCGGCACCTGCCGACCAGATGGAAGAGGACATCACTGAGCGAGCGGGCTTAGGTTTCACGCCCCCTGCACCGGCAGGGTATTTTAGTGATCCGGTAGACGCCATGGCGGCGGCTTCTTTGCCTTCTACGCCCCCGGCAAAGGCCCAGGCACCGGAGCCTCCGCGACCGAGCAAGAGGCCGGCTCCGCAGCCCTCGTGCACAGAGAAGGAGATGGTTCAGCTCTTTGACCAGTTCACAGGCTACCCTCTTTCCACACCGGTGGTCACCAGCATCATCGAGCAGTACATCCCCCTGCGGGCTCTGGCCATGCAGGAGAAGATTTGGACCCAACGGTACCAGAAGACCACCGACAAGTCCGGCCTGACTGACCAGAAAGGCCTCCACCTACCCGCAGGTGACATGCCCTTCCACTCCATGCGCTGCAAATGCATGACGCCCTGGCCTGATAATGCCTCCCGGTGTTGGACCTGCAAGCATGACCAAGCCGTCGAGTACCAGCGACCTACGTCCATCATGGAGGTGGGGGACGAGACCTGGACCCTGTTCTACGAGGCGGGCAGGCCAGTCTGGCGACGAGCTGCTCCCGTCCGGTCCACCCCAGGTGCCCCTGGCCCTGCGGCGACTGGTATGGACCCTGAAGCGGAGAGGCACTTCAAGCTGTCACACTCCATTGATGGGACTTGCACCGAGGAAGAGCGGACCTTTGCGGATGAGGTCCCTTCCGTCTGCAGGGTCCACATCCGGCAGGAGATCTTGTCGGCGGACTACGAGGACGATGCTGCGGAGACCACGGAGCTCCGGTGGGCTGTCCTCCCGACCCTGTCCCCTGGCACCTCGACAGGCTGTTGGCCCTGGGAGACCAGGGGACATTCGGGTGTTTTGGCAGCGACGGGCGAATCCTACTGCCTGACACACCCTTGTCCCCCTGGCGAAGTCCAGGGCAGTTTGAAACAGACTAAATGATACAGGGTCTGGGGGAGGACCCCAGCATCAACCAAAGCGCATTCGAAAAAGCCTGCATGCAGCTTTTTGCGCTCTTGGGATCTTTTTGACTTCTGGGTACATATTCCTATATTCCTTGATAGGCCTCTTCTGCTGCTCTCCTGGCCTTGTGGTCTGCGGGTCCTCTGGTAATGTGGTCCCTTGGTCCTTTGGTCCCTTGGTCCTCTGGTCCACTGGTCCTTTGGTCCCGGTCCTTTAGTCCACTGGTCCCCTAGTCCTCCGGTCTCCTGGTCCGCGGGTCCTGTGGTTCGCTGGTCCCCTGGTGTCCTAGTCCTTCTGTCTCCTGGTCCGCTGGTCTTTTGCTCTCCTACGGCGCTCGTCTGTCGATCTCCTGGTCCCCTGCTTGCGCAAATAGAGGCTTGATTGCTTTCTACTAGAGGCAGCTCCCTGGGAAGAAAGTAGGCACTACTGCTACTGCTACCACTACTACTACTACTCCTCCTCCTACTCCTCCTCCTTCTCCTGCTGCTGCTGCTGCTGCTACTGCTACTGCTACTGCTACTACTACTACTACCCCAACCATCCTCAGTGGGCTAGAATATTTTTTTTGATGACCTGTTTATTTCTTTATTGATCCCCGTTGAATATTTTTTTGATTCTATTTTTATTTTTATTTTGATCCCATACCCCTCTTTGGAGGAGGTGGCATAAAAGCACTTAGTATTGACACGACCGGGCTAGGGCGCTCTGAGTTGAAATGTTTGCTTTATCACCATGTTCAGTTGGAGCGATCAACAGATTCAGTTCTCCTGGGCTCCTGCTGTTCCCTCATGCGGCATCACAGCTGAACCGCTCAGGCGAACCGCTCTTATACCTCACGGTGGAGGAGATTTCTTGGGAAAAACATCTGAAACAGCTGGCGGGCACTGCATCAAGCCATGCCCCCCTGATATTTTCAACTGAGAACTGAGAAGCGCAAAGACTTAGATTACGGTTTATATAGAGTCAGAGTGCTGCTTTGCTTGGGATGTCTTGGGATGTTCGTTGGGATCTGATGAATTTGTGAGCACTTTAGCCTGGGGGTTGCAAATGTTGCAAACAAACACGCTCCAGCAGCAGCAGCAGCCGCAACGACAGCCACAACCGTTCATCTCAGTTCATTCGGTTTCTTTTCATTTCTTGTTCTGCCCATTTCACTTTGCCGACTTTGCCGATCAAGAAGCTGATCGTTTCAACGTGACGAAACCAGGGCGTCGCCTTCTTTCTCGTGGCGATCCTCATGGACTTTGCCATCCACAGGCACCTCCGTAGCTTGATGTAGCTTGTCGAACGAAACGCGAAAGAGACCTTGAAGCCTGCAAGGCCTACACTAAGCCTTCACATATGCCAGGGTATGAGTGTCCCCAGTGTCCCCCACTATACAACCATCAAAAAGGCCAGCGAGGTCCCGAGGTCCCCTGTTCCGAAAACGTCGCCGCTCCGCCAGTCCACGCCTTGCACGGCAATTGGATGCCTCCACCTGGGCTCAGCGAGTGAGCCGATGGGTGCGGGTGCTCGAGGGAAAGAGACCGATCGGAGACCGATCGAAGGATCTGGGCGGTTCGTCCCTGCAGTTAACATAGCAGCTAACATCAGCCAACCAACGGATTCTGTACATCCCAAAACCCACCAACGGCTCAAAGGACTCAGGGGCCAAACTCTCTTTCAACGCCGTCCGCACCAAGTCGTATGATCTCCAAAACCCCAAAAACCCTATCTTATCTTAACTACTATACATACACTACTTATATTATATACACATACACTACTTATAGTACTATATAGGTACCATTGATTTTTTTCGGTGTGGTCCACTCCACCTGGACCGGACCTCAGGTGCGCGGCCGGTCTCGGGCGGACGAAGCCAGACTCAGTCCGCTCATTGAGAGTGGCACCGCGCTGGAAGGAGCGCTGGAAGGAGCACGCCACCCACGACAGCTGCAGGGCATGCAGGGCATGCTGAGCTATGGCAAAAGGAAAGTTGTGGTTTTCCATGGTTTTCCATGATCTCCAGTCCAGGTTCAACTGCAATGTAACTAGAAATTCTTAAACTGGATACAGATAGGTGCAAGCAGAGACCTTCTCGCAGGGAATGGCCCTATTTTCTCTTCTGAATTGCTGAGATTCTGTGCAGCTTTAGTATGTTTTAGT